CACGGACCGCGGTGGCGGCTGCTGCAATGTCCATCGCCGCAACAACGAGTGCACGGTTGGGGGCTGCATGCGCATGGCGCGGCACCAAGGTCTCTGCGCTGCACACAAGCGGCGACATGTTCGTGCGTCGTATATGTCCTCTATGCCTCATGACGAAGGATAAAGATGTACGAGTGTTTCTTTCGAATGACCCAAAATGACGAGTACATTGTGCAAACGAAGCAGTTGGGCGAGTGCACACGAAGAAGCGCGCTATCTATCGTTCTATGAAACTCACTACAAACTGCGCGGACGAATTGTTTAGTGTGGCTCAAAATGTCAAATTGACCACGAGCAACGAAACGTATGTAAACGAAACATCGAGTCGAACGAGTCTCTCGTCGGCAGCCTGACACGTTGCATGAAGACGCGACGCAATGCCTCATGACTCTTGATTCCTGTTGCACATGGGAGGTCCGTTTTTGCTTAATTGCTTAAGGACGTTAGAGTTGTCCTCGGGACGCGTCCTGTCCTAGGCTCGCTGTGCTTGCGGTAGACGCCAGGGTGCCAGACGACGTGGTCGGTGCCGCAACGACCCTTCTCAATGCTTCCAGCCACGTACGCATTCGCTCCTAGGATCGCATGAGTCATATACTTAGTTCTATCAAAGCTCACCACTTGGGTGCCACAGAACGCATCAAATGCCGGGTCGCTTAGCGGCAAGACATCGTTTGGAAACAAGCTGCTCGCGTGAGTTAGCATCGCCATGTCGTCGGCGAATCTCTCAGATTCGAGCACAAGGCCAGGCTCCGGCAGCAGCGGCACCAACCGCGTACATAGCGCGTAGAGGCTCGTGGCGACAAGCTTGAGGTTCGCTTCGACTTGTTTGGGGGGGCGCGCGCGGCCGCCAATGCCGCTCGTCCACGGCTGAAGCACGACGTACGGCACGACAACTCGTCCGAGGACAAAGCCGACCACCACGAGGTCGAAGCGAGCGTCGGTCGCCATGTTGCGCGTCGCGCCGAGCGCGTTGAACTCGAGACCCGTTCGCTCGGTGGCCGACAAGTACTAGGAAAATATGATGCTAACATCACCTCGATAACATTGCAATTCGTTGGTTACGTTGGGTGGGAAGTAGACGCCATCGCATGTGAGCTTGGCGAGGAACTGAAGAATGGCCTTGGGAATCGGCTTCTCTGTCGTCTTGACAAGCGCGTCGACGAGACCCTTGATGCGGACCTGTTGTTGCTTCAATATTAACGAATGGGAGAGATATTATCGAGCACTTTGAGCTGGAGAATGCTCTCGGGCGACTTCGCTTGCTTGCGTGCCAAGAGACTGCCAAATTTCTTCTTCAAGCTCGTCTCGGGGGGGCGCATCGCTAACACGAGCGTCGGGTCCTACTGTGCGTACAGACTAGCGAGCCTCGTGGCAAACGTAGGTGCCGTACTTGGAGAATCGAGAGAACGGGGAGACGCATGTCTTTGGCCAGCCACGACCGGATCGCTTCCGAGTAGACATCAAGCATATTGGCCATCACCTGGATGGATGTCGTCGCCGACTCATATCGGGCTAGTGCAGTACCTTGGCTTCGTCGGCTTGCTGTGATTGCTGGCGCTCAAAAGCGAGTCGTTGAAGCCGGCGCATAAATTGCACTGCGACCACGGCCGATCGAAAAATAGCTCGCAACTATGCACAATATGTCATTTACATCACAGACACTCGGACGCGCACAGGCATCGGCGCTTCAGTGAATGCCGACACGACGCCAGCCGCCGCGTCTGCGTCCTGACGCCACTTGGGACGTAGCACAACGTCTTCGGTCGGAACGGTGAGCAGATTTTTGCGCCGTCGGACGTCCGCCGGTGTCTAATGGGACTTATGAGAATCGTAGGCGGAACATTATTTGATGGACGAACGGCTTCGTTGGCTTCGGGAGACGCCCGTCGTGTGTCGAGTACGTCGTCGTCGTCGTCTGGATCGTCGGGCGGCAATGCCAGCAGCTACGAAGAACCTCCGTCGCGTGCTCCGGTTGTATGCAGAGCAGCGCTACGCTTGCATCGTGTTCGCTCCACGCCAGATCGTCGTCCAAGGGCAGTCGTGCGGCAGTGGCGGGCTTGGTCGCTGTCGCCGGGGGCTCGCGAAAGGTTGGTGTGGGCTTTGTAGCAGGCCGTTTGGCGCTCGCTCCAGATGCGAGACCTGGCAAAGTTGGTGCGTTCAGAATCGCCGACTTGTGGGGTCGAGCGGGGGGCGACGCGGCGCGGTCATCGCTCGTCTCGGGCGATGGCTGCTCTGCATTTTTCTGTTGAAAGAGCGTCGCAAGGTGCTGTTGTTGGGCGAGAACTCGCTCCAACGTCCGCGCCATTTCGACGTGGCTGCCGTGCTACGCTTCGGTCGATCAGCTTGCAAGGTAGTCAGGTAGACAATCCATTGCCTTTTGCTTGGCCATCGCAGCGTCATGCATGGCCTCGAGCTGCTGCCTGACGACGCCATGA